AAAAATAAACCCTGTGTAGTTTATGAAGATATTTTTTGTTTCCCGCAGCGAGTATGTGAAATATTTTAGCTTTTCCACTCTTAGGATTTAATATGGCATGCAAATGTCATGCATGTCCTCGAACCTTTGTTCTGTTGAGCTGCTTGGCTTGTGATAATGTCTGGTGGGAGAGAAATCTCAACTGAATGCATGCGCCACCTACAATATTAATCCACTGATTTCGACCTAGTGCCGGAAACTACTAAACTGTTCCATTTTAATTGATGTTTTGAAAGCCTTATCTTATCTAACACTTGGAAACTATCTGGAACGTCTTGGCGATTTATTTTCCCAATGCGCGAGTTGTAGATATGATGTGAAGATTGGCACTCGTCCGCTCACTTGATTGGTCGATTCCTGTAAGCATTTTTTCGATTTGAGGATTTTGAGTGTATTTGATAGTTTTTGGCGAGTAATAAACAAACGAATGCGACCTCTGTTGCTAAGAATAATGCTGGGGTTGAAAAATAAGCCAATGATAATCTTAAAAGAGTTCAAATGATACATTTTTCATCCGTGAATTAAAGTTTGACCAATCTCCGATTACACTTTTGTCTCTTGCAGCATATATTTCATTTATGGCGTCAATGCTTCTATTTTTGAGTGTATATCTGTAGGAAAATGATTATTGTGTCCGAAAAAGAGAAAACCAAGACAAAGAAAGAAAGTTAAGCGATAGGTTGCGTATGTGTGCAAATAGGTACGCGGGTCATATTTCAAAAGGACTATGCAAATTTGTCCCTGAGCGAAGAGATCTCAAGTTTTATGGAATCTGTCAGTAGGAAGCAAGACGAAAATGACCAAGAAATATTTCGAGATGACAGTTTTAGTCAGTTCTTGATTTGCTATTATAAGCGAAAAACGTACGAATTTCTTACGTGTACAAAGCCCACGCGGTAAAATTCATCATGCTTAGGTTGTTGTTCACTTGACTTCATGGCCAGAAAATTGCGTAGCGTTATGCTGAAAATTCTGAAAAACTACGAAGATCTTCTATCAAACTATACTTTTTGAACACATTATTACTCGAACATAATAT